TCAATAACTAAAGATTATTAGCTATTTAACATGAAATATGCTTAATATTATTGATGACAAATGTTCCCTGAACAGTTACATTTTTATTTCTCTATGGTAAAAATTGCTTCCTTATGGTATGGTACATTTTATATAATTGTTATTTTAATCTGAGGAAAAACTGTCATAATTATCAAACAGTAATTGATTAGTCACCTTTTCGTTGAACATATGCTGTGTATGCCCTTGCCCTGAATTTACCTACTAGATTGCTATTAGATTTGCTTGACCTAAAGATCTTTAGGTAGGTTTTTATCTACCTAAAGTCTGACTTCAGGTCTCTTTGATTCAGAATTGCTGAGAGTGGGGACTTTGACAACAATTTCCAACTCCATGAAGTTATGAGGTGGCCTGACCCATTTATTCATCATGGGCTGGAGAATTACTCTCTTGTAACTGACTTGACTTTATGTAATGACACTGATCGAGCAATCAACAATGCCTTTATTCTAAATTAAACAAGTATTTATTAAAAACTTTCTATATATCAGACACTATGCCAGATCCTGGTAGTATAAGGACAAATTATGGAGCTCAATCTGGAAGAGAGAAGTCTTATACTTAGCAATTTTTAAAGTAATTTTTGAAATTAAATATAAAGTATATATTAAAAAATGGAAAACTCACATGTGTAGCTTAATTTTTACAAAGTGAACCTACTCATATAACCAACACTGAGAACACAAAATAGATCATTACCAACAGTGGGCGCACCTCTCATGGTTCCTTCAAGGGTGAACCCTATTCTGACTTTTCACACCCTAGGTTGATTTCATTTCATTTTAAAATTTTTATAAGAGAAATCATATAGTATATGTTTCTGACTTTTTTTTAACATTTTGCTTTCAAGATTCATCACATTCTTACCTGTAACTGTAATTCAGTCATTCTTACTGCTATATAGTACTTCATTAAATGAATATGGCATAGTTTATTTATACATTTTGCTATACCCAGAAATGCGAGTTGTTTAAAGTTTGAGGTTATTATGATTATAAGGCTATGAACATTTTTGTCTTTTGAAGAATATCATATATGTATATTGCATATACATCTAAAAGTAGATTTACTAGAAGGAAATGGCAATCCACTCCAGTATTCTTGCCTGGAAAATCCCATGGACAGAGGAGCCTGGTGGGCTACAGTCCATGGGGTCGCAAGAGTTGGACTAAACCACCACCACCACACTTTTAGCTTTAGTAAATTTTCCCAAAAACTTCTCCAAAATGATTCTATCAATTTATAATCCCACCAATAGTTTATGGGAGTTCCACTAACTTCAGATCCTCAATTCTCGCTATTATTGATCATTTCCATTTTAGACATACTGGTATACAGTTGCCAAGACATATACTGAAGTTTTAATTTGCATTTTTCAGGTGATTGATGAGGTTGAGCACTTTTTAGTATTGTTAACGGGTCATTTGGATAGTCCCTTTAGGGAAGATCCCCTGGAGAAGGAAATGGCAAGCTAATCCAGTATTCTTGCCTGGAAAATCCCATGGACTGAGGATCCTGGTAGGTTACAGTCCATGGGGTCGCAAAAAGTCGGACATGACTGAGCGACTTCACTTCACTTCACTTTTATAATACCTGTTCAAGTCTTTTGCCTGTGTTTTTTTCTGCATTCTTCTCTGGTCTTATTTCTACTGAGTTTTAGGAGTTCCTTATATTTTAAGGATATGAGTTTTTAATCAAAATATATACTTTAGATACACCTTCAACTTGATAACTTGCCTTTTCACTCTCTCAATGGTGTCTTGTAATGATGAATTATTAAGACACTCTTAATTTTATGATAGCCTAATTTTTTAAAACTTCCTTTACAGTTAGCACTCTTTGAGTCTTATTTAACAAATATATGTCTGTGAAAGTCACTCAGTCGTGCCCGACTCTTCGCAACCACATGGACTATACAGTCCATGGAATTCTCCAGACCAGAATACTGGAATGGGTAGCCTTTTCCTTCTCCAGGGGAATCTTCCCAACTCAGGGATTAAACCCAGGTCTCCCACATTGCAGGTGGATTCTTTAGCAGCTGAGCCACAAATAAAGCCCTATCCCCAAAATAATGAAGATATTTTATTTTTCTTCTAAAATTTTTATTTTTAAAATGTTTTATAGTCACATCTGGAATAGATTTTGAATATAGCTTCAGATCAAGTTTTATTTACTTAGTATGGATATCCAATCAGCCAAGTACTATTTATTAAAAACACCATTATTTCTCCTCTGCTCTGGAGTGTCACCTTTGGCATAAAACTAGATGCCCAGATTTGTAGGTGTGTTCATATACTCTCTTTGTCTATTCATCTAACCTTAGATCAGTACATCACTGTCTTAATCACTATAATTTATCTAGTGTTATAAAGTATAGGTATTCAAGCTTTGTTATTCTTCATGATTTTCTCAGCAAATCTTGGCATATTATATAGCAGAGATTTCTTTGTAATACTCTGATAGCATGGTTGTTGTTTTTCAGTCACTCAGTCATGTCCAATTCTTTGNAACATCTGGCAGTTCTCAGTTCATGTACTGTTGAAGCCTAGCTTGGAGAATTTTGAGCATCACTTTGCTATCATGTGAAATGAGTACAATTGTGTGGTAGTTTGAACATCTTTGGCACTGCCTTTCTTTGAGATTGGAATGAAAACTGACCTTTTGCAGTCCTGTGGCCATTGCTGAGTTTTCCACATTTGCTGGCATATTGAGTGCAGCACTTTCACAGCATCATCTTTTAGGATTTGAAATAGCTCAACTGGAATTCCATCACCTCCACTGACTTTGTTCAGAGTGATGCTTCCAAAGGCCTACTTGACTTTGCATTCCAAGATATCTGGTTCTTGGTGAGTGATCACACCATCGTGGTTATCTGGGTCATTGAGATCTTTTTTGTATAGTTCTTCTGTATATTCTTGCCACCTCTTCTTAATCTCTTTTGCTTGTTAGGTCCATACTGTTTCTGTCCTTTATTGAATCCATCTTTGCATGAAATGTTCCCTTGGTGTCTCTAGTTTTCTTGAAGAGATCTCTAGTCTTCCCCATTCTTTTGTTTTCCTCTATCTTTTGGCATTGTTCACTTAAGAAGACTTTCTTATCTTTCCTTGCTATTCTTTGGAACTCTGCATTCAGATAGCAGGGTAGAGGGACAAATTAAATATCTTTAGGCAACATGAAGGTGACACAAAGTGATACCTGAGACAAAATTTGAAGGCTGGGTAGTATTTTGATAGGTAGTGGATATTCTTTTAAGTATAAATACATGATTGTCAATTTGAAGCAACTCAAGATTCAGAGAGATCTTCCATTCATTTTCAAATAACATTCCCTATCAGGCTTGTCTGATAGCTCAGCTGGTAAGGAATCTGCCTGCAATGCAGGAGACCCCGGTTCAATTCCTGGGTTGGGAAGATCCCCTGGAGAAGTGATAGGCTGGCCACGGCAGTGTTCTTGGGCTTCCCTTGCAGCTCAGCTGGTAAAGAGTCTGCCTGCAATGATGGAGAACTGGGTTCAATCCCTGGGTTGGGAAGATTAGGAGAAGGGAAAAGGCCTTCCACTCCAGTATTCTGTACTGGAGAATTCATGGAGAATTACATGTATAGTCTATGGGGTCGCAAAGAGTTGGACACAACTGAGCAACTTTCACTTTCAATAGGCTTTATCCTGTGGTCTCCTCTGATATACTCAAACCAAAAACTAGAATCCAATTGATTATTGCAAATATGCTAAATGATACATCCTGCAAATGTTGAAGACAAAATCTTTCTTCTAACTTCTCCATCATTCTTCCTTGGAAGTAATAGCCATTGAACATTTAGATTCACTAACTTTCTAAAATTAGGATCTATTCCAAAAGAATGTGGGTGAAACAACAGTTACCTAGTGACTAAGAAAACACATTTTATCCAGTCCTACATTTTTCTCAGTTTGCTTAGAATTAAAGGAGGTTATTACTGAGTGTGAAAAGTGAAGATTCTAGATAGTTGTTTGTTCGTACACATACAAAGAGTGTAATAAATGTATGTAAGATTACAAAAGCACCAAATCTGAGATTTCAGATTGTTTGTAGATGGAATGATAAATCAGGAGAGGCACAATAAAACCAAAAATGAAAAAAAAAAAAAACTCCATTGGAAAATATGCAGTATTACCCCATTGCCAGAACCTGCCTTATAATATTAACCAAATTTCTCATAAAGGTTCTGTATGGAAAGAGTCATTACATTTTGATTTGAGCTCTGAGCACAGCATCAACTGTCCTTTCAGATTATATGTCCAGACTCTGATCATAGCTGTTGTCTCAGATAGGTTCTAGGAGTTGATGAGATGATCAGTATACAATCTACCATTCAAAAGACATATTTCAATTATCTACAACTCTGGGACTGAAGGACCACTCGAGGACACATCAAATCCTGTACAACTTAGATACCCTCAGAAAGTCTATCAGGAGTTTTGGAGAGGAAAGTTCAGATGTATGAATAAATTTGAAAGCTGAAGTTGTTTGTAATATCAACACTATTTACAGAATGTGTTTGACTTTGTAAATAAAGTTTTAATTTTCTTTACTAACTGAAGCATAGGCTTCCCTGGTGATTCAGAGATAAAGAACCCACCTGCCATTGCAGGAGATGTGGGTTTGATCCCCTGGGTCAGGAAGATCCCCTGGAGAATGAAATGACAACCCACTGCGATATTCTCGCCTGGAGAAGCCCATAGGCAGAGGTGACTGGAGGGCTACAGTCCATGGGGTCGCAAAGAGTTGGACACGACTGAATGACTAAACAACCTAATCATAAATTATATGATTCATTTATCTCAGGTTATTCCACTTTAAGTATATTATTGAATGTGGGGCTGGCGAAAGTGACTTGATATGCTATATAATTAAAAATCGGAGCAAGGTTGTTATAGTCTTATTATATGTAAGAATATGAAAACATTCCATGTTATTTACTTACAAGAAGCCTCTTTAACTGGATAAATCACACAATTTAGATAACAGGTGTGTCCACCTACAATAGTAACTTGTAGAACTGGTATTAACATTTCCGAGGATAGGATTAAAAGTGTTCTTAATTTATCACAAATTCAATCATCTTTAGAACTTAAATTCCATTTCTATGATAAAAATATTAATAAACAAGTCTACAAAAGCCTTTTCAAAGCCTAGAAAAAATGTACATAAATAAGTAAAAGGTTGTCAGAGTTACTTTCTACATTGTGCAAATCCTGTACTTTAATGCTGTACTATAATATTACAGAAATGTCTTTTAAAAAATTGAATGGTTGGTATGAAGCAGTAATGATATCACATATACTGTTCAATTAGAAGTTTAACTTTCCACTTGCAGATATATTTTAAAAGTAAAAGCATGCACACACACATATTTACTGTACTCTGAATTATTAAACAGTTTTACAGATTTCCATATGCTGAATAAGCTTTCAAAATGTAAACAAAATTTCTAGAGATAAAATACTTATATGGACCTTGATTGCATAAAGCAGAAGTTTAAGGCCTGGGATTTTGAATACTCTTTTGTAAATGGACTCACTCCATAGATATAATCCTAGCTATGGTATTAGGAATAGAAGTATTTAGAAACAAAGATAGTATAGTCTTTACCTTCAAAAACTCTCAAGTCAGTAAGTAAGAAAGATAAGTAGAGACAAATCACTAGGCCAAGTGGCAAGTGATTTAATGGAATACAAACCAACTTTTGCAACAACAAAGATAGAGCTACTAATTAAACTTGGAGAGGGAACACTTCACTGAAATGTCATTTGAGCTATAGTCTCAAGAGTGAGTAATGTTTGCAAAATAGAAAAAGCAGTGATAATTCTTGGTTCATAATGGAGGCTTGAGGATATAAGCTTGCTGCACTTACCTCCTGATGTTTTGTCAAAATGACAGTAAAATTATTTTTTAAAATCAGTAGACCAGAAATTTTTTACATATTTCTGAATGATGGAAAGTTACTCCACTTATATGTCAGAGCAACATAGAATAAAGTAAACAACATTAGGGCCCATGAGTAGCAAATTACTTCTCCATAAGTAGCTTCTGCCCTGGACTGACCTAGAAAATTCCACATCTTATGTTGGCAAGCATGATGCAAAAAACTGGTTGTCAAGTGTCAATGATGGTGGTTAATTAGAGAAGATTGTTTAGAGAAGAGCAAGTTTGGCTGTTCTGCTGACAGATAAGTGGACTGCTATATTATTCTTATTGGGAAATGGAAGCAGAGATCTCTTTGGATAAGTGGCTGATGAGAGAGGGAGAGGTAGATGGAGAAGGAAATGGCAACCCACTCCACTCTCAGCTGGAGAATCCCATGGACAGAGGAGCCGGGCAGGCTACAGTCCATTGGGTCACAAGAGTTGGACATGACTTAGCGGCTAAAGAGAGAGAGAGATAGAATAGAGCCTAAGACACCTGTAGACTTCTACAGTGTACCCAGAGGAATAAAAGGAAAGATATATCCAATTACCTAAGAGTGGGAACCTCTTAGGTAAGGCCTCCATGGTGGCTCAGCAGTCAAGAATCTGCTTGCAATGTAGGAGATGTGAGTTCAATCCCTGGGTCAGGAAGATCCCCTAGAGGAGGAAATGGCAAACCACTCCAGTATTCTTGCCTAAAAACTCCCATGGACAGAGGAGCCTGGAGGGCTACTGTCCAAGGATCACAGAGTCAGACATGACTGAAGCGACTTAGCACGCATGCACACATGCTCTGAAGACTTACATGGTTTTGTCTGCCAGGGTAGGCCAGTAGTAAGTCTTGCATATTCAGGCAGCACAATTCTCACTTTGGGGACCAAAAATATGGCTAGACAAAAAAAAAAAAATACTATCCATTTCTTCTCCCTTGACAGGCATTTCTCAACAACCTGCAGTTAAACAAGGTTACAAGACTAGGTCTAGGCAGTAAGTTGTGAGTGGAAGTGACATGAATTCCAGGCTAAAACACAGAAGACCAGAGTCAAGGCCATCAACTGACTCTTCTGACGCATCAACTAAGGAGGCAATGTATTCAGGGTGGTCCACTACACTTGCATTTATTGGGAGAGGGGGTAGTGGGAGACAGAGAGGAGCCCTCAGCATGAGTGAAGAGATTCTTAGAACAGTCACCTGGTTTGATAGTAGACTTCACATGAATAAGAAATCACCTTCCACCATGCTAAGCAATTTAGATTTGGGAGTTTTCCTAAGACTGCAGCACAATCTAGCCCCTAAATATATAGTAGCCTGCTGTGTAAAATAATCTGTATGACTGATTTTAATAAATGAGTTTCATTAAGGACTGGATGAAGGCTATCAAATCCATTTCCAGTTATGTGAAGTTTATTTAGTCAAACTATGCCACCATTAAAACATTAGTAAATTGAATCCATTAAGATTCTAAAACATAAATTCAAAAACTGGATTTTAGAAAGTTTCAAATATACATTTAATTTTCTTCAATGTGTCATCAAAGCTTTTAATGATATTTTATGCCAACATTTAACAGAGGAGTAAATGATCAGTATTTTGAACTTCTAAGTCATCTCTTACGTGGGAAATATTTTCTGCATAGAGAAGAGAATGCACAATCAGGATGACATTTGTCATATTGAATAGCATTTTAGGTCTTTTATCTCCCAGGTTAAGACTCGGACTTGTTTGGCATCAGTGGCAAAGTGAAAGCAGAACATCAGCCTGTAACTGTGTGCACAAGGTTTCCAAACCCTACCACCTCACCCCAGTGTGTGGGGATACCCTCCATGTCTCTCCAGGTTCCCTCGAGGGCTCAAAGGGTTAGCTTCATGGCAAGGTGAGAGTCAAAGGCCAGGGTGAGGGAGGTGATCCCTAGCCACCGGCTATTTTACTATCAACCCCAGGTGGCTCAGTGGTAAAGAATCCACTTGCCAATGCACGAGACACAGAGGTGTGGGTTCGATCCCTGGGGCCAGAAGATCCCCTGGAAGAGGAAATGGCCCCCCACTCCAGGATTCTTGCCTGGGAAATCTCATGGACAGAGGAGCCTCATGGGCTACAGTCCATGGGGTTGCAAAGAGTCGGACACTACTGAACGACTGAGTGCGCACGCACACACACACACACACACACACACACACACAAACACACACACATTTCCTTAAGGAGCTTCACCGTCACTCTGTTCAAAGGTTTAGGAACTTATGAAAGCCTTGGGCAGCCAAAAAGTAGCCAATTTTCCACTATAATATTATAATAGGGCTTGTGAAATACTAAGCTGTACTCACATGTATTTCTGATTCTAGTGGGACATAATTTCCAGTGTGGCAACTTTTCTAGTGTGACTGTTCTTAGCCTTACAGAGTTATAATATATGAGTTTTGATGTTCAGAAATGGTCTTTTCCTCACCCATCACAGTAATGGCCTTATATTTTTGTTTCTTTCCATTTTAAATGAAAGCAGGTAGACTATATGTTGCATTTCTGAAAGTTTTAACACTGCTTAAGAAAACTGATGAATAATGAAGGTCTATTATCTTCACAATAAATTACATGTTCTAAGACGCTGTGAAAGTTTATATATTGTGTAACTTCCTTTCTTTGTTCTAAAGTTACCCATTCTGAATTTTCATTAAAATATAAGAATGTCTTTATGAATTGACTGAATAAAATATACCTATCTAAATATCTGCATTTGTGTTCATGGAGTTTTATTTTTGAAATACAAATTATTATATATTTAAAGCTTATAAACAATAGGCAATATTATATAATTAAAGCTTTTAAACAATTAATATAGATGATCATATCTATATTTCCCTGATAAATATGAGGAAAATAGGTATTTCTGGAATTAATTGCAGCTCATCTTAAAACAAAGATGAAATATAACACCACTTAGGAAAATTTATCTTTTTCCAATAATTGGTATAATCTGCATGAATAAAGAAAGCACTGTGATGTTATAAAATTTTGTCTGATAGTCTATTAAGTATGTATGGTTTATAGTCACAGAAATGTTTGCAAGATGAAACAAGAAAACAAAAAAGCATGTAAGAAATAATGATGTCATTATAAGAAGCTTTAGTTTTCAGTTACAAGATGAATAAATTCTGGGATCTAATACACAAAAAGACCCCAATCCTGGGAATGACTGAAGGCAGGAGGAGAAGGGGACAACAGAGGGTGAGATGGCTGGATTGCATCACCAGCTCAATGGACATGAGTTTGAGTAAACTCCGGGAATTTTTGATGGACAGGGATGCCTGGCATGCTGCAGTCTATGGGGCCGCAAAGAGTCGGACACAACTGAGCAACTGAACTGAAAATGATGGTGAATATAGCTAATAATATTGTATTATATATGTGAAATTTGCTGAGAATGAATCTTAAGTATTTTTACCACACATACATACACAAATAGTAAATATGTGAGGTGATGAATGTGTTAGCTAGCTTATGGTAATTATTTCATGGTGCATGCATATATTAAATTATCACACTGTACACCTTTAAAAAAATCCCATTGTATAATTTAAATATATATGCTGTTTATTCATCAGAAATACCTCAACAAAGCTGAAAAACTATAATACAATAAAAGAAGCTATACATAATAAATATTCATAAAGGTTCATGTGTGTTTTGAAAAAGTAAATCCACTGTATTAAGGAAAATATCAGTTATTTACCCTGATTTGATAATTACTAGAATAAAAATAAAAACTTAACCAACTTGTCTAACTTTAAACTTGTTAAACTTGTCTAACTTTAACCAACATTGCCTTCATTCTAATATACTTTTGTAAGACTATATTAAACAAAAACAAAACTAGTAATCCTAAATATCAGCATTTTATTTAGGTAACAGTGCAAGTCTAAGGAATAGGAAGGTGGGTTTTTTTGTCAAAGCTTTTACTTCATAAATGAAATAAAACTTTTTATTTATTTCATAAATGAAATAAACTTTTCAAAAATGCTCACCTATATAGATCAGGCTACTCGACTGGACAGTCTCTATACAAGCTTTGTAAAAGAGTTTACTAAAAGTAAGTATATTTGAATAAATATATACAATGACTGTGCTTATCCAATCAAGGATACTGAAAGCAGGACTGAAAGGAAGTGATCTGCGGCTCATAGAAACTACAGAAATTATTAGCACTTAATTAGTTCCCAAACACTAGGCAAAGCACACTATACAAATCATCTCATTTAATTCTTATCCTGATAATAAGATACTATTAATCATATTTTTCAGCTGATATTTACAAAGCATGATATATTTTTATTAACATCTGTTATTTATTTCTCAAAATCATACAATGGAACAGGTTCAACCACTTCATAAGGGATGAGAGAACCATTTAGCCAGGTTTATTTACCCACAACGGCTGCTCTCTGAAAGGACATTGCGCCAACATTTCATGTTGTTATTGACAACAAAGGAAAGACGAGCTGAAAACCTGAAATCCTGGTGACCAAACAGGTCCCTGTACTTGCTCATCATATTTTAATTTAGTGGTAATTCAATTTCTGGTTCTAAGTCCCATGAGTGTGTGCTAAGTCGCTTCAGTCGTGTCCGACTCTTTGTGACCCTATGGACTGTAGCTCACCAGGTTCCTCTGTCCATGGGATTTTCCAAGCAAGAATACTGGAGTGGTCTGCCATGCCCTCCTCCAGAGGATCTTCCTGGCCCAGGGATAGAACCCACATCTTTTACGTCTCCTGCACTGGCAAGCAGGTTTTCTTTACCACTAGTGTCACCTGGGAAAAGTGAAAGGTGAAAGACACTCAGTTGTGTCCAACTCTTTGCTACTCCATGGACTATACAGTCCACGGAATTCTCCAGGCCATTCTGGTCTGGAATGGGTAGCCTTTCCCTTCTCCGGGGATCTTCCCAACCCAGGGATCAAACCCAGGTCTTCCACATTGCAGGTGGATTCTTTACCAGCTGAACCACAAAGGAAGCCCAAACTGGAGTGGGTAGCCTATCCCTTCTCCAGTGGATTTTCCCGACCTGGGAATCGAACCAGGGCCTCCTGCATTGCAGGCAGACTCTTTACCAACTGAGCGGTCAGGGAAGCCAGCTGGGAAGCCCCTTCTAATTCCTACAAGATTTAGATTTTATTTTATTTTTTGACTCTGAAGACTAAATGATAATATTTAAAATATCAGTAGTAAATGTGTGGAAAATACAGCCTTCATTCTCTGATTCTAATGATCTCCAGGGAAAGACTAATAACAGGCTGAGCCGCCTGGGGATCAAGGGCCTGGGCTCCACCATCAGAATCCCAGTCTTCCTACCTTCTCTTTGTGATCTGGAAGTAGCTCCAGTTTTCTTACTGAACTTCACTTTTAACAATATCTAGTTCATGGGACTCCTGTAAGGAATAAAGGGATTAACCCACTCAAAGAACTTGGAATGTTGCTTAAAACAAGTGGGTTGTCAATAATTCTTTGTGAACACTGTCCAAGTAGGTGGACATATTAATACATGTGCCCAGAGTTTGTCCTCAAAACAATATTAGTAGGAAAGATTGACTCACAAAACAATTTTTTTTTAAATGAGATAAACTTTAACTGTTTCAAACGAACCATGAAGAAAGTAAAAAGGTAATACACTGACTGGGGGAATGTATTTCAAAGTATATATCTGACCAATGATTTATATTTGGAATATATGAAGAACCCTTGCAATTCTATAATAAGAAGACAAACTCAAGATAAATACTCAAGACAGGTAACTCAAAAAATGAGCTAATGATATAAAAAACCATCTTACCCAGATTGCCTAATAACATTAAAATCATGTTTAACAACACTAGTCATTAGGGAAATGCATATTTAAAACACAATGAAAGGTCACTTCACACCCACTAGGATGATTATTCTGAAAAGACAAAGGATAGCAAATGTGGAGGATACAACAAAACCTAAAATCCTCCTGCCTTGCTTGTGGGAATGTAAAATGATACATCACTGTGCAAAACAGTTTGACAGTTTCTTACAAAGTTGAATACAAATTTACCGTACAAATCAACACTTCCACTCCTAGGTATCCATCCAGAGATTTTATGTGGATATTCATAGCATCATTTTCACAACAGCCATAGAGTGAAGCCAGATGTCCATCATCTGGTGAATTTATAAACAAAATGTGGCATATTTATAAAATAGGACATAGTAGAACAATACAACAGAACAGATTACTGGTACATGCTATAGAATGAGTGAACATACAAAAAAGTGCTAAGTGGATGATCTTTAGTCCTGTTTAGTTCAGTCGTTCAGTCCTGTTCAGTCCTTTAGTCCTGTTCGACTATTTGTGACCCCATGTACAATAACATGCCATGCTCCTCTGTCCTCCACTGTCTCCTGGAGTTTGCTCAAATTCATGTCCATTGAGTCAGTGATGCTATCTAACCATCTCATCCTCTGCCATCCCCTTCTCCTTTAGCCTTCAATCTTTCCCAGCATCAGGGTCTTTTCCAACGAGTCAGCTCTTCACATCAGGTAGCCAAAGTAATGGAGCTTCAGCTTCAGCATCAGTCTTTCCAATGAATATTCAGGATTGATTCCCTTTAGGATAAACTGGCTTGATCTCCCTGCAGTCCAAGGCACTCTCAAGAGTCTTCTCCAGCACCACAGTTCAAAAGCATCAATTCTTTGGGGCTCAGCCATCTTTATGGTTCAACTCTTACATCTGTGGATGAATACTAGAAAAACCATAGCTTTGACTACATGGACCTTTGTCAGCAAAATGATGTTTCTGCTTTTTAATATGGTGTCTAGATTTATCATAGCTTTCCTTCCAAGGAGCAAGCATCTTTAAATTTCTGGCTGCAGTCACCATCCACAGTGATTTTGGAGTCCAAGAAAATAAAATCTATCACTGCTTCCACTTTTCCCCATTTATTTGCCATGAAGTGATGGGACCAGATGCCATGATCTTAGTTTTTTAAATGTTGTTTCAATCCAGCTTTTTCACTCTCTTCTTTCACCCTCATCAAGAGACTTTTTATTTCCTCTTCACTTTCTGTCACCAGAGTGGTATCGTCTGCATATGTGAGGTTGTTGATATTTCTCTGAGCAATCTCTGACTCCAGCTTGTGATTCATCCAATCTGGCATTTCACACGATGTACTCTGCAAAACACTTCATATCATATGGTTTCATGTATATGAAAGGCAAGGAGGTAAATGTCAAATCTATGGGGAAAGAAAGAGATCAATCTAGGCTCAGGGGTGAGGGCAGAAATTAACAGATGAGACAAAGGAACTTATGGGGTGACAGAAAGGTTCTAACCTGGGTGGTGGTAATAGCTGTACAACTCTAAAATCTACTAAGATCATTGAACTATATACTTACAATGGATGAGTATTACAGAATGTAAAAAAAAACAAAAAAAGATCTGTAAGAAATGTGGTAAGTGCAAAGTTCCATGAAGATATTATGAAAGCACTGAGGCATATCTTCTCACTGTATCTGGCTCCTGCATGAGATGCTGCTTGAAGTGACTCTTCAGGAGAGGACAAAAATCAGCAGCTCAATAGGAAGAAGGAAATCTAGGCAAGGAGGCTGTATGAACAATGACACAAGGATAAGAAATGGACATGCTAAGATACTAAGAGGAGACTGGAGGAATAGCCAAGACAGTGTGTGCAACATTGCCTGTTAGGACTTTGCACCAGCTTGTTAGGTAGGAGGGATGAAGAGGAGTTATTTTTCTCTCTTTTATACTTGATTTTGAAAGTAGATATACTAATAATGGGACCAAAAAAAAAAAAAAGAGAGAGAGAGAGAGACTGCTTTGAGACAGCCCCACTTTAGAAAGTTTACCATTACCCAGCTGAGGTACTGAGGACTCATGGGCATGCTGTTTGTAGCCATGATACTTGTAGAATTCTAACCACAAACTATTAAAGAGCCAAGGCCCTATTCTTCGCATTTATGACCATTTTCTGTGTTGCAAGAATAACCCAATCAAAATGGCCTTATTTATATACTAAAGAGTGAGAAATGATTATCAATTCATTGACACTATAGGAATTTTCCTTATTTTTTTCATAGGCGTTTGGAATCTCTCAGGGAATACATTCATGATCTTACAAATAATATTTTCTTGGTGCATTGCTGTTGTTGCTTAGTCGCTAAGTCGTGTCCAACTCTTTGTGACCCCTTGGACTGTAGCCGGCCAAGATCCTTTGTCCAAAGAGTTTTCCAGACAAGAATACTGGAGTGAGTTGACATTTCCTTCTCCAGGGGATCTTCGAACCCAAGTCTTCTGCATTATCAAGCAGATTCTTTACCACGGCACAGCCAGGGAAGCCCCTTCTTGCTGCATATGTTACTTGAAATAATAATTCAAAACTATTTTGAGATAAGCCAAGAAGAATAATTCAAAATTATTTCAAGATATACCAACTCTCAAACAGACCTAGAGTACATTTTCCAAGAACCTAAGCTGCCCTGCAATGTTTTTACCTTTATCATTTCACCAAAAACCTCATGAGAACTAGGAGACCACCGAGAAGTTTGGAAAATATTTGCTTTTACTTTATTTGCTGTTTGTCTAGTTCACTAGAATATATCTGTCAAAGAAATACAGTCCACTCAATGCAATGGGGTTTTATTAGAAACATGTTTAAATTAGAATATGTAGGAAATATCCTGCCTGCTCTTTTAATAAATGTAAGCATGTTAGAAAGGCATAAGTCAACTGAAAAATTTATTTCAATAATACAATAAATAAATCTCAGGCATCTTCTCTGTGTCACTTCTCAAACCAACTGGGTTTCCCAGGTGGTGCTAGTGGTAAAGAACCTGCCTGGCAATACAGGAGACCTGGCTTTGATCCCTGGGTCAGGAAGATCCCCTGAAGAAGGGCATGGCAACCCACTCTAGTATTCTTGCCTGGAGAATCTCATGGACAGAGGAGTCTGGCAGGCTACAGTCCATGGGGTCACAAAGAGTTGGACAGGACTGAGCAAATTGAGCACACATGGTAAATTAAAAAGATCTGTACAACACAGTCAGTCTATTTCCCTACTGGACTTTGGATATAGTAAAGAGAGTCATGGAACTGTAGACTGACACTACACTATGGCAAAATATAATAAGACAGCACTTTAGACATGGATTTCAGGATATCACGGATTGTAGTTATTACTGATTTATCAAGACTGTGTCTGACTCTTTTGTGGATCCTATGGACTGCAGCCCTCCAGGCTCCTCTATCCATGGGATTTTCCAGGCAAGAATACAGGAGTGGGTTGCTATTTCCTTCTCCAGAGGATCTTCCTGGCCCAGGGATTGAACCCAGGTCTCCTGCTTGACAGGCAGATTCTTCACCACTGAACCACCTGGGAAGCCCATATCACGGATTACAGAAGGACTAATTTTACCTGTAGTAGGTCAGAGAAGGCATCCAGGGACAGATGCTACTTGCATTAGGCCTTGAGTAATTAAGTCCCTGGGAGTGGGGAATAAAAACAAACACACATGCCTGGCATGTTTGGCAGAAAAAATCAGGCTCGACAAGTAACAGCGGTATCCTTTCCCTGAAGCTCCTTTTGAAGACACCACTTGCTGTAGCAGACTCTGCCAGCCCCAGCCTTCCCCTCGGCACTCAGCACGCACTCAGCTTCTTGGAGCACCCACTGAACTTGAGTGTGAAGACTTCCTCTCGGCTCAGGAGCACATTAGGCCGGCAAGCAGAACAGTCTGGAACGCTGAGTCTGAGCCCAGCATGCAGGTGTGCTCAGTCACTCAGTCGTGTCTGACTCTTTGCAACCCCATCAACTGTAAGCCCACCAGACTCCACTGTCCATGGGATTTCCCAGGCAAAAATACTGGAGTAGATTGCCATTTCCTATTCCAGGGATCTTCCTGGCCCAGAGATCAAACCCGTATCTCCTGTGTCTCAATAGCCCTCAACCCTGAGCTGCATTCCACTTGGCCTCCAGAGATCGCTGAGGGACAGAGGTTGGGTTACCCACAGCACCTGCCCATTAATTGTTCTATTGACTCCATTTTCCTGTCCAGCTTCCCCACTCCCCAACCAGCACTTCCTTTCATCACCACCTATGAGTTACCTGTCACTATGTAAAAACTACCCTAAAACATAGCAGCTTTAAATGACACATTTTATTTCGCTCACAATTTTGTAAATCAAGAATTCAAGCATAACCTACTGGGTGATTCTTCTGTTTGTACTGAGTCCAGCTAGCAGTACAGTCAGTTGGTAGATTGCCTGCTTTATAAGGGTAAGGGGCTGTCCCACTTTCCTAATGATTTGGCAAGAATGGCTAAAAAGCTGGACTCAGATGGGACAGGCAACCAGTGGCCTCTCTGGCCTGATGGTCTCAGGACAGTCTGGCTTCTCAGCTGTCACTGTAGGGCCTGCAGAGAGCGTGCTCTGAAACCCTCCTTCTCCTCAGGCCCAGAAACCAGCTACATCTGCAGTACTGACTTGACACAGAAAACGCCCCGACAAAGAAAACACAATAGACCCCACCTGGGAATGACAGGATTAGCAAAGATGTGAGATCAGCCTTGAGAGAAACTGACAAAAACAGAGGTTTCAGATGAAGCACTGTCATGAAGCCCCACACCTCAGGGGTCACGATTCACATAACAGTCATACACTAGCTTATCTGAAAGTACGTGGGCAGGCATGGAGACAGAAATGCCAGACCTTCCTGAGGAGTCCAGCTCAGAGATCTTGCTCCTGGATAATCCCACCTAAACCTGGAGAAGTGCATGCACACCTGTTTCCTAGTATACCCAGGTGCATACCTGTGCTTCCCCATCCATGGGCAGGCCAGACCCCGGGGTCACTTTCCCACCAGCCTATTGGGGGCTCTGAGAAACTCAATTCCCACTCCTACCTCAAATCTAAAGCTGACACTGTCAACTCATTTGGGGGAAGCCCTTTGGTTCTACTTCTGATTGTTGTTGATGTGGGTGACTTGGGGTGCATGCAAGTGGACAGTATGCAGACACAGGCATTCACAGCTCATCCAGACAGAGCTTAGCTGGGCATGGTTGTTGAGGACAGGTAATAATATTTTAACTTAATTTTTCTTCTTTTCTTTTTCTCTAATTCTTGTAGTTTACATGAACAAAGAGCGACTTCCCACAACAGGACCTAATGGCTAGCAGAGACTGTCACGTTGTATTATTTTAGGGGTATTGCATATACATAACCTGAGCAAAACCTGTCAGTAGTTTCACACTGGATTCCTGAAGACCTAGGAATTCTGTATTCTGTTTCCAAGTATTTGCTAAATAAGTGATCTTTAAGGAAATAAGCCTATATGACTTAACTTCTCCCAACTGACATATTGCAATAATAATCCTCCTACA